TCATTAGCTTATTTCTACTGGCTTTACTATTCGGTATAGCCAAGATAACTTTGCATATATTTTAAAAATATACGTTTACATTTTTCTTATCTGTTTACTTTAGACTAGCTTAGCTTATTTCGTTTCTTATTGCTTATTTGGACTTTTACATTTGTTATGAAAACCTGTGTTATAGAAAACTAAACTTAAACTAACGGCTATATGTTCCTGCTAACTCCGTCGAAGTATCTAATCAAATTCCGAGAGTAGGCTAACTTATCTTAGAACCGCATGCTTTTAATCCGTATCACCCATCTATTTGTTTACTTCTGGAAGTATAAAACTATTTTGGGACAAACCCTTGTTTGCATCAGTTTATACACTTTTGGCCCACAAATCTATGATATCTATGGCTAGTTCCTTTATGCTATTGAACTTTAATTGAGTGGTTGGATAAGGGATTGAATGCATGTTTGCTGTTCTGTTTTCATTTATCACTTACAACTTATCATCATTAGTGAATTAAAAGCAGTTTCCTGCGTCTCATTTACGACTAGTCTAACTAATTGCTCTAAATCTATTAATAAATTAATTACATATTTTCATCACACTCTAGCCTTTACCCGGTAAAAAGACTATTTCAGCCCTTGACCGATTCTCGCCTGTCTTCATCCAACGTCGCGCTAATGGCCTCCAGAGTTATCTGCGACGCGTCGTAGAGCATCCGGTCTTTTCATCTAGCCCAGATTTGATCGCATTCCTTACGCTAACTTCGCCAGAGGTAAGACGACTGACTCTTTTCACTTTTGTTTTTAGTTTATTTTACATCCATTTCGCTATTTAAAAGATCTGGTTAAGCTATGATTCTGTCGCTTTCTGTGGTTATCTAAAAATCTGTTTGGAATATCCATAAGTTGGATGTGATCACTCAATTAATTTTTTTATTGGTGGCTACGGCTTGAATTTTATATACGATCGCTTTATTATGGGTCATTTTATTCATCACCATTAAACGAATGGGTCTTATTTGGCACGCCAGTTCTGGTTAGTAAGGCAGCTGAAGATTCATTCCTGCAACTCAAACATCTCCAGCCAAGTTTGCTGAGATTTTAGTTAAACTTGTTGTGTTCGACTTCTTAACACTTTTGACTAAGATCATGGTCTATATGTTGGACGAAATACATTTTAATGCTTATTTATAAATTAATTTTAATAGGATTCATTTAAAACTTGTTATCATCAGGCCATAGCTATTCACACGACTATGCTTTTGGCTTCTGGGTGCGACCTAATCAATATGTCTAATTCTCTCGAAGCTAAACATGTATTGCATACCTAAGTCTACTAACTCTTTTCAGTTTTCTCACTAACTCACCATTTGTATTTTGCTTAATTGCTTTTATTTCATATTAAGCACTTAGTTTGCCACAAATCCATAATCCTGTATTCCGATGCAATAGGATTTTTAATCCTACACTAGGCCTTTACTACGACCTGTCTTTACCCTAGGTTGCATAGGGTGATGTAGGACTAAGTAAGCCTCACGATTCCATTGAATTTAATTAGTCTTGCCTCCAAAAAGGAGTTTTCATCCAGGATGAACTGCAATTCCGACCTCGTCTAGGTCTCATAATCACTCCTAAAGGAAATCAAACTCAGATAGCGCAGTGTATAATTTAAAAATATTAAAATAGACAGCACTCCAAAGGTGTCAGTGGGTCACAGGACAGACCTAAATTTCAAGAATAGCGAGGTTCTTTTCCTGCTGGGGGTACTGCTGAGACCAAAGCGAGGTCGAAACTGGATGAGAACACCTTTTTTAAAGCTAGGCTAATTGAAATTCAATGAAAGCTTTATCTGACCATCTTTTATTTGTCTTGCTTTGCCAATCTTGTATGGACGAATCAAGCCAACAAAAATTAATGTTTTTAGGTCTGAAAAACAGTTTGCTAGATAAAATGTGATATTTTATCTTCAATTTGCTTATTCTCATTCCGACGGCGACTTTTGTGATTACTATGGAGTCAAAGGTATCAGGGTCTGTTGTGCCGGGGATAAATATTGTTTTCAAATAGAGATTGATTATTAGTACAATAAGTTATGATATATTGACTAATCAACGATCCATCGAAGCTAAATCGCATCAATCCCCAGGAAATTGTTATTCAGTTATTTATAAGACCTATCCTTGAATAACTTTTATTCAACTTTTCATAAAATTAATAATACAACGGTTTTAATATTAAATGATCCTTCCAAAACCAGTTTTTCAGCATAAGCTGTATTTTTATCATCTATTTTGACAGGAATTTGCATCCTATCAAGATAATCATATGCCACAGGGCCGATTATCCAACCTTTTGAGCTCTGAAAATCTACCGTGGATTGGTCATCGATCAAACCCGTCCTCAGCTATCGTCTCATCCCTGACATCTCTCGCTAATACTTCGGAAATAACCGCGGATGACAGTACACTGCCTAGCCAGAAGGATGGAGATCGAGACAAACCTATAACCGGACGCATGTCGAGCCCAGGAGCTCTCCTCGTGAACCAATCCTTGCACCTACATACTGAGGAGTTCAAGGAATACCTTGAAGAAGTAGGTTCTATCAATGTAAACAAAATGCATGAGCCTTTTACCTCTGAATTTGTTGTTCTTGATGACGCATTATTAGTTATTTTGCGCTAGATTTTTTGATTTGGTTTTACGATCCTTGCTTGTGTTATTCCTGGAGCCTATAGTTAACGATATAATGTTTAAAGTTAAATAAATGCAAATTGCCAAGTTTACACAAATGAAAATGTTATTCTTTATAAACATATATATACATAAACCAAGATGTTGTAACCTATCGCAATCTTCTTTCGCCATATATAAGTGATTTGACCTCATTTTCGCAATCTGTTCGTGTCGTCAGGTTGACTTAGATAAACGCACCTTGTTTGAGGCCATCTGCTATACTAGCCATTATATCTCTCAGCGTCGTATAGTAGACCTGATACATTTCCAGACTTGTGATATCGCTAAATAAAGTTTATAAAAATGGGCACAACTCAAGAGTAGTCTCGAAAACCTACTAACAATCGAAATATAAGTAATTTAATCGAAGGTATTAAGACCAAGATGGTGGCCTTTTGTGTGATCTCAGTCTCCTTTCGTTGTATAGAAGTTTTTTGACCTTGTTTTCACAACTCGGCCATATTGGTAGGAAGACTTAGAGGAACGCACCTAGTTTGGAGTCCATTGTATGCATCATCATTTCTGGAGTAGGACCGTGGACGTGCTACATTTCCAGACGTTTCGACGGCATCGGAGTCGACTAGGTGCGTTCCTCTAAGTCTTCCTACCAATATGACCTAGTTGCGAAAACATGGTCAAACAACTTCTATAGTCTATAAGCTCTGCCACTTAGCAGCGCACTACAACTCGTCAAAAAAGACAAGTGAAACCGATCCATTGACCAAATGTGTGCTAGACAGTTGTGTTATCTCTCCTATTTTGGGCTAGTCACCTCAACGAGCAAGCAGTACCACAACAATTATGGGTTGGCACACAAGAGATTGGGACATTGCAAATTATAGACTTGGTATTAGGGATATAAACAGGATACACGCGGCGGAGAATAGAGATATTAGGCTGACAGTAGGTCTGTTTTACCATAGACGTGGTCCATGATGCAAAGGCTTGACGATAAGAATTACTCGAGGTCTTTAGCCTCAAGTTAGTCTAGCAGATGCAGTGCGAGAAATAACGTCTCGTGCACCACAGATGAGGTGGCAGGATTCGAATTAAATACTTGAACT